TTTAGTGAAATAAAAATGAATTTTCTCTATAGGACAAATCCGACAAATTATGCATATGTGGACTAGTCTGGACTTCATAGAGACACTGAGGTATTGCGATGACTGTAGTAAGAATGGTAAGTAAGAATGCGTTGTTTTCATGCAAGGAATACTTTGGTATGTTTGGTTCAGCAATCGTTGCTAGTTAAGTTTATGATAAGGCAAATTTAATACCAGCCTTCCACTATCCCCTCCTTTTAGCCTTGTGCCAGATTTTTGTATTATTCAAAATAGATATTACTTTCCTCTTTGGTACCGAGACGTTATTAATTTAAGCACAGTACTAGAATGGCCGTAAGGTCTCATCATTTTACAATGGAAATAGCTGCATGCTAACAGTTTCTTTTCTTGCAGTTTTCGCTTGTGGAACTTTTTTTCTGCTTCTTGCTTTCCAGTCAAATTTTGATTTTCAGATTTTAAATGTAATATAAATTATCTTCTGTCTTCTTAATTCCAGTTCTTTTATTGACAAATCCGACAAATTATACATATGTGGACTAGTTTGGACTTTATAGAGACTCTGAGGTATTACGTTGGCTGTAGGAAGAATGGCGAGTAAGAATGTTTTCGTGTAAGGAATACTTTGATGAGTTTGGGTTAGTAATCGTGGCAAGCAAAGTTTAATTATAAAACAGATAAAGACCAGTCTTCCTCATTCCCTCTTTTGGTCATGGGCCATTTTTTTGTATTTTATAGAATAAATATAACTTTCTTCTACGGTGCGTAGGCATTATGAATTTAAGCACTGTACTAGATTGGCAGCAAGGTCTCCTCATGACACAGTTCAAAAGGCTAGATGTAACCGTAAATTCTATGTTAACAGTTTCTTCACTCGCACTTCTCGCTTGTGAATATTTCTTACAGCTTCTTGACTTCCAGTCAAGTTTCATCTTCAAAAATTTAAATACAATGCCAATCGTTATCTTGTGTCTTCATAATTCCAGTTCTTTTATTGTCCTCCCTCATTAATAGAAGTTTTTCTCATATTCTCTAACACTCAGTAACCCCTTGCATCCTAGTGGCTTTATTACCTTTGATATTCAAAAATTTAAATGCAATGTTAATCGTTATCTTTTGTTTTCTTAATTCCAGTTCTTTTATTGTCCTCTCTCATTAATGGAAGTTTTTTTTTCATATTCGCTAATTTTCAATAACACCTTGCATCCTAGTGGCTTTATTGTCTTTGATCTTCAAAAAATTTAAATGCAATGTCAATCGTTATCTTTTTTATTTCTTTATTCCAGTTCTTTTTATTGTTTTTCTCTCATTAATAGTAGTTTTCTCATATTCTCTAACACTCAGTAACCCCTTGCATCCTAGTGGCTTTATTGCCTTTGATCTTCCAAAAATTTAAATGTAATGTCAATCGTTATCTCCTGTCTTTTTAATTCGAGTTCTTTTATATTCCTCTATCCTTAATAGTTATTTTTTCTCATATTTTGTTACACTCAGTAACCCATTGCATCCTAGTGGCTTTATTGCCTTTTGATCTTCAATAATTTAAATGCAATGTCAATCGTTATCTTCTGTCTTCTTAATTCGAGTTCTTTTATAGTCCTCTCTCCTTAATAGTAGTTTTTCTCATATTCTCTAACACTCAGTAACTCCTTGCATCCTAGTGGCTTTATTGCCTTTGATCTTCAATAATTTAAATGCAATGTCAATCGTTATCTTCTGTCTTCTTAATTCCAGTTCTTTTATTGTCCTCTCTCATTAATAGTAGTTTTTCTCATATTCTCTAACACTCAGTAACTCCTTGCATCCTAGTGGCTTTATTGCCTTTGATCTTCAATAATTTAAATGCAATGTCAATCGTTATCTTCTGTCTTCTTAATTCCAGTTCTTTTATTGTCCCTCTCATTAATAGTAGTTTTTCTCATATTCTCTAACACTCAGTAACTCCTTGCATCCTAGTGGCTTTATTGCCTTTTGATCTTCAATAATTTAAATGTCAATGTCAATCGTTATCTTCTGTCTTCTTAATTTCAGTTCTTTTATTGTCCTCTCTCATTAATAGTAGTTTTTCTCATATTCTCTAACACTCTGTAACCCCTTGCATCCTAGTGGCTTTATTGCCTTTGATCTTCAAAAATTTAAATGCAATGTCATTCATTATCATCTGTCTTCTTAATTCTTGTTCTTTTATTGTCCTCCCGTCTTAATAATGTATTTTACTCCTGTTCACTATCAAGCGGTAATACCTATAAAACATATGAGCCATTCTATGTCAACTCAACAAAAGTCTGATTATCACCGACACAGATTTTTTTTTTAAATTTGGTAAATTTATAGAGCTTCATTATAAAAACTGAATGGTGCCTATTTTACTCCTCTAAGTCAAAGGATTCCTAAGATATTATAAAAACTGAATATTCAAACCTATTTTTTAAATCAAAGGATTTCAAAATTTAAAAATCCAAATTCCTATTTTAATTTTAAAAAGGATTATTAAGATATTAAAAACTGAATGGTACCTATTTTACTCCTCTAAGTCAAAGGATTCCTAAGATATTATAAAAACTGAATGGTACCTATTTTACTCCTCTAAGTCAAAGGATTCCTAAGATATGAACCTTGGACCCTTGGCAAAATGGTGAATTTTGTATTTTGTTTTTAATCATTTCACCCCGAGCAAGGTGGGGTTGCCACTAACACGCAAGGTGTTAAAAAGAGTGAGAGCAAGAGTATAGAGGAAAGAATAAAGAGGAGGACGAGGATCAAGTTCAAAACATCAGATGATATCGATTGACATTACATTTGAATATTTGAAGATTATATCTATCAGAGAAACAAGTAAGAGGAAGAGAGAGCCACTTTCAGGAAGTGCGAAATAAGAAGTTTTTGGGGTAGAAGAGGCGGTTACATTTAACCATTTCGACAGTGAAAGGGTGGGCCGCTGAAGACAATCTAATAGCACGCTTAAATTCATGCATTTAGGGTGGCAGTGCAGTTACCGTGAAAATACTTGTAGAAAAAACAGAGGGAAACCACGGCTTGTCTGTTAGAAAGTGACTGTAGACGAAATACCAGATCAGGACCCATCACATTGCATAACCGCCTATGGATAGTTGCAAATTTTAGATATCAATATCTGAGGTGTTTTTTCACCTAAAAAGCTAAATTATATACCATTTTATAGTACTTGTATACAGCTAAAATGTACATTATTTACATTATTCGAACTATTGTCCTCATCTTTGTTGCCATATTAATCACAACGTTTCAGACATTGTACGCTACAGCCTTCTTCGGGTGGTGTGATGTCGAACTGAACCCTTTATTTCGCTCGCTGGGCTAGACTTTTCTCAAGGACACATGGCACAGTGGATGAAGGCGTTGCTTAGATCCAGTGCCAGGACCCAAAACGTTTGAGTTCAATACTCGGTCCAGGCAGTGGAGAACGTGGAAAGGGGAATTAACAGAAGATAACTGATAACTGACATCCATTAGACATCATATAAAGATAAAAAATAAAGGGTTCATATATATAAAACAAAGATGAGGACAATAGTCGAATAATGTAAATTCGATCGAATATAATACCTCATCTCAGAAATATAGACAGATACTGAAAGGCCATTAAACGTTGTAATAAATATGGCGACAAAGATGAGGACAATAGTCGAATAATGTAAATAGTGTACATAATACCTCATCTCAGAAATATAGACAGATACTGAAAGGCCGAAACGTTGTAATAAATATGGCGACAAAGATGAGGACAATAGTCCGAATAATGTAAATAGTGTACATAATACCTTATCTCAGAAATATAGACAGATACTGAAAGGCCGAAACGTTGTAATAAATATGGCGACAAAGATGAGGACAATAGTCCGAATAATATAAATATTTACATAATACCTCATCTCAGAAATATAGACAGATACTGAAAGGCCGAAACGTTGTAATAAATATGGCGACAAAGATGAGGACAATAGTCCGAATAATGTAAATAGTGTACATAATACCTCATCTCAGAAATATAGACAGATACTGAAAGGCCGAAAGATTCAATAAATATGGCGACAAAGATGAGGACAATAGTCCGAATAATGTAAATATTTTACATAATACCTCATCTCAGAAATATAGACAGATACTGAAGAATGAAAGGTTGTAGTAAATATTGCGACAAAGATGAGGACAATAGTCCGAATAATGTAAATAGTTTACATAATACCTCATCTCAGAAATATAGACAGATACTGAAAGGCCGAAACGTTGTAATAAATATTGCGACAAAGATGAGGACAATAGTCCGAATAATGTAAATAGTTTACATAATACCTCATCTCAGAAATATAGACAGATACTGAAAGGTCGAAACGTTGTAATAAATATGGCGACAAAGATGAGGACAATAGTCGGAATAATGTAAAATAGTGTACATAATACCTCATCTCAGAAATATAGACAGATACTGAAAGGCCGATCCTTTTGAAAAAAAATATGGCGACAAAGAAGGACAATAGTTAGAATAAATAAATAGTGTACATAATAAAATATTCTCAGAAATATAGACAGATACTGAAAGGCCGAACAAATAATAAATATAAACAAAGATGAGGACAATAGTCCGAATAATTTAAATAGTGTACATAATACCTCATCTCAGAAATATAGACAGATAGCTAAAATGTAATCTTTTTATTTTTGTTTAAAGGGCAAATATTATATTTTGAGCCTGACCTTATTCTTTGACTTATGGTTTCACATGAAACATCTTAGTAGATTTATTGCCTTGCTTGGGGCAAAATGATTTAAAAAGCAGTGAGGATCGAACTCACTAATGCATGCCTCTTTCCAGGTGAAACTATTGTCTCTGTCGTAAAACATGAAAGTTCGCCTTGGTTATGAACAAGTGATGTTCATATCATTGGACGCATAGACAACTTCAGTAAAACAAGCCGTCTTCATGCATAGATATTTTGATCAGTTTACTCCATTACGATGTGGTTTACGGTCACATCTCATTGAAACACCTGTTTCCGTACGGGCACCGAAGTTAAGCAAAGTCGAGTCTGGTCAGTACCTAGATTGGTTACGGTTTGGGAATACCAGGTACTTGGATGTGCTGGTGGTGTAATATATAATTGCTCGGATTTCTAAATCGGAGAGCAGAGTTCGAATTCCAGTTGGGTTTCTTATATTCACTTATGGGCTGATATCTTTCAGAAAGGTATGAATCCACCTCCTCTCCCACATCTATGGATTAATTAGTAAAACTTGTATCACTAATTCATTATTCTCTCAAAAAAAATTCTTAGAAAACCGTTAAAGTGTGAACCATCCTTCTTGTATTCTCGGGTTAATTGATTCGTTTTTTTACGGATTATCAACACTTCGTTGGTTATTTAAAGCCAGAACATATTTTTAAAATATTTTCTGGTTTTAAATAACCTTCAAAGAGTTGATAATCCGTACAAAACGAATCAATCAACCAGGTGTGTTAGATGGCCGTCGACAATACGAGAAGTTTGATTCAGACTTTAACGTGTTTTTTAATACTCATATGTCTAGAGACTACTTTCACTAGAAACGACTAGAGGCACTCACCCTACGACCATACACGAGACATTTGACAAAATAAAAAAACGTAGTCATTGGTTTTGTGTCCCCAGTAGGAGATGCTGAGGAGTTTTCTCAAGCATTTGTTCTTGAACGCCGAGATCCTTTTTCCAGTCTCCACCTGAAATATACCCGTAGAGGAGCATGGATATGACGCAGGGGTTTTCTCGAGAAATTGTTCTCGAATACCTGGATACGTTTTTTCCTGCCTCAACAAGGAGTATTCAAATCTCACACCTGTAGAGGGGGATGAATAAGACGAGCGATTTGTAGAGCTTGAACTTGGCCGGAAGTTGATGTTGCTCTTCCATAGACTTTCCTGTCTGGCCATCGCAGCTGTGGTTCCGTTGATTCGTGTACGGATTTCAGCAATGCAGATGCCATCTTTTGACAGTGTTGCTCACAATTATTTGAAGCTGGGCGCTGCTTCGCCGTCCATTGTGACGCTCTCACTGGTGTGGACTGTTCTATTCCATATCCGCCGGTTCTTTCAACGAGTTTGTTGTTCGGGTCTTCTAGTTCAATGTTACTGCTTGCCATAAGGTCAATATCGCTTGCGAAACGCACGCTGAAGATAGGTCTGCCACCGATAGAGATAGAAGTGTTGGGTTCGTGAGGGGTTTTATATATATAATAGTGTTGGAGGAATATATAACCCTGTTCGACAGGGATAGTCACAAGAGGAAGAAATCTCCCGGACGACATATTTATGAAGACGATGATGATGATACATAATTTGAATATGTTCTTATCACGTCATATGGTGTGACGTCATACTCTGTTTGAAGATGTTGCGACCAGTAATCTTTTCATTATCTCTCTCTCTCTCTCTACCTATATATATTTCTAGCGATGGATGTCGCCAATAATCGCATTAATACTTCTGATTAATTCTATGTGTGATTATTCTTTGTATGTAAATCATATGCTGCCTAATGTTTTATGTTTATTAAAAACTATCGATCCGCAGTACAAAAAAATTCCTATAAAAAAAACTACTACTAAGACATTACACTATATTATTGAACTATATACTTAGTTCATGACATAAAAACTGAATACACTTGTAAAAATAGAATACGTGGATTTAACACATCACAAGAAATATTTAAATAAAATTCTCACTTAAAAAATTTTGAAAAACTTAGCGTTGCGTCTTTGCACGTTCCGAGATCTTACACAACCGTCAATAATAGCAGATATTCAAAAAACATCTTTCGGTCGACATACAGGTATATCGTCTCAAGTTTTTGATTTTATAAGGAAAAAACACATGCCTGATGATGGATGGAAGACTATCCGTAAGTACTAGCATTTTAACATCAAATAAACTGAAAAACTACAGACAACAAGTTTTTCTTCAAGGATCAAAACTCGCACTATGGATGAACAGGATTTTAATGCATATATTATGTTTTCTAGCGATGGATGTCGCCAATAATCGCATTAATACTTCTGATTAATTCTATGTGTGATTATTCTTTGTATTTAAATATATATATATATAATATATATATATATATATATATATATAATATATAAATGTGTGTGTATATGTGTCATATATATAGATATATAAATAAATAAAAAGACTGGGAATAAGGGGTTCCAGAAAGAATAAAAGGAAGTGTTGAAGGGGATAAAAAAGAAGAATAAAATGAATAAGATAAAAGAAGATGTCGATTGACATTACATTTAAATATTTTAGTTATCAGGGGAAATATATAAGAGTTTATATAAAAACTGAAAATTTGATTTAAAAGAGAACAAACTGTTTTGTAAGTCCATCCTCAAAACTTTTTCGACAGTAAATTGATAATATATTATATATATATATATATATATATATATATACAAGGTGAATTGAATAATTTATATAGTTTTTTCCTGATTTTTAAAATAATATATATATATATTATACAAACTATATTAAATATATATATAAATGATATTTATCAAAATTTAAAATTACATATATATTTATTTATATTGAACTTACGACATTCAATCAAACTGTCATCATCAGTGTTTTTTATCAGACAATATATAATAGAAAGTTGTCAAAAATGTGTGTTGGAAAAGGGTTTTTGGTGTAAATTTTTGTGAAATTTAAAAAAAATCTGATCAAAAACTTCGCCCTGGGGAAACTGGATAAAACAATCCTAATGTGTTGTGAATATGAACAAAAATTAAATAGATAAAAAATTCCATTCGTTAATTTGATAGTAAACAACTCTGCTCGAATGGCTAATTCAAAATTAATTGATGATTAAAAAAAATAAAAGATCTGGCAAAAGAAATTGCACGGACTGTCGGATGTAATGATTTGTTCAATTTTATGAAAAAAAACTCCAGCTGCCAAACTAAACTAAATTTTTAAATTAATTGTGTACAAAGCACAAAGACAATTTGGAATATTCCAAATTTGACTTTTTGGTGGTGATGTTATTAATGTTCAATTAATAAAAATCTTAAAAAATAAAAAAATATACATGACCCTACAGGAATTTTCGACTTTTATTTTAATTTTTTTTCAAGACAATATATATAATTATATATATATATATATATATATATATATATATATATATATATAACATAATATATATATATATATATATATATATATATATATATATATATATAATATATCAATATATTATATATATATATATAAAATATATAAAATATATATATAAATATAAAATAGCATATATATATATATATATATTTTTATTTAATAATTTTTTTTTGTTTTTATCCAATGCCAGGCTCCAACTCTTTGGATTTTGATGTTTCCATGTGTTCAAATTTTGATATTTATAATTTCAAGTCTTTGTATTTTTTAATAAATTTTTGAAGATATTATTATTATTATTAATTATTTTTTATCATTATAAATTAAATTCACACATTGAATATTTAAAACCCTTTAAAGGAAAGTAATTTTTTATACAAAAATTTTTTATTTCCTTGAAATAATTTTATTTAAATTTTTTTTAAAAAAAAATTGATATTTTCTTTTTCAAAGAAAATTTTTTTTGTTAGCTAATATATATATATATATATATATATATATATATATATATATATATATATATATATAAAACCATGGATGATAAGGGAAAAAATATATTATTGATTACGATAAAAAACATTTTAGTTGTAAAAAAATATTTTAAATAGGTAAAAGATTTTTAAATTTAATTCCAAATGCTGTTAGGCTTTTTGAAGTCGTAATTTGAAAAAAAAAATCTTTTGTTTTATTAAATGTAAATCTTTATATATTTTTTTTTTAAATTTTTCGATCCATATATTTAACAGATAGATAGATTGTCACCATTAGATAAAATAAAAAATAATGAAATTCAGATAGATAGAAAGAAAACAAAATTTAATAGATAGATAGATAATAAAAAAAATGATAGATAAAATGAATAGATAAATAGATAGATAGATTCATAAAAGGTTTAACATTCAGTGTGAAACAAAAAGAAGGACTGATAGATAGATAGATAAATAGATAAAGACAATGAATAATTCTAAAGAGATAGATAGAAAATGAAAAAAAACAAATAGATAGATGAATAGTAGATGAGAAAAACCTAGATATGGAACAACTCGAGATAGATAAATAAGATTTTTTAAGATAAAAAACATCCAGATAGAAAGATCAATACTCAAAGATAATTAGAAAGATAAAGAACACAACAAAATAAATAATAGATAGTCCAAATAGCAGTTGGTTTAGATAACAAAAAGGAAGATAGATAGATGATAGATAATAAGAGGTCAAAAGGATATATTTATAGACGGTATTTAAATATAATAGATAGATTAGATAAAAGCAATTTTATAGGATAAATCTTATGCAACTAGAAAGATAGATAGATAATATGATAGATGGAATATATATATATATGTTTATTTTCTATATGAATTCAAATGAACATATTTTTTAAGAAAAAATAACACCTTCATAATTTCATCTGATATATAAAAAAAAATTAAAATGAAAAAATTTTAATGCCTGGAATTTTAAGCAAAATCGATTGGATTTTCTGATACTTCTGTGAAATTCAAAACTTATTCGTCGATTAGATTCAATTAAGTAAGCTAAAAAAAAACACAAGATTTCAGAATGGAAAATAAATATCCAAGGTTAAGTAGGGAATTGTAAAAGTGAAAAAAGGACTTAAATTCAGGAAGTTAATAAACAATCGGAAACGAATTTTAGCTATATATATGTCATTTTATTTATATTCGTTCGTTCGTTTTATTATAAATATAATATATATTTTATATATATAATATTTATTTCATCGTTTTCAAATTTATTTTCTTTCTTTTCAGTTCCTTCCAATTTTTAAAATGTTTGGAATTTTATTAACGGTAAAAAAAAATTTCAATTTTAATTAATTAAAATTTCAAAACTTATTTATTGAGCTTCTTTTTTTTTCATCTTTTCAATTTGATTTTTTATTTTATGTTTTTATT